ATCCAGGAAGTGGGAACCCACTCGGCGGCCGTCACCGTGTTCATCGAGGAGCTGGGAGAGAAGTAATCCTTTCAGAATCGGGTCTGAACCAGAACCCTGTTAGAACCTGGTTCTGGTTCTGGAACTTCAATCTGTTGGCAGCAGATTGAATGTGATGATGTGATGCAGACACCTGGTTCCGCTGACGGATCTGAAACCAGTCAACCCAGTTCCTGCCTGGAACGTGTCGGCGCCGGCCAGGAAGGGATCCAGGTGAGGTTCTGGTTATGCTGGGCTACAATGTGACCCCTTCGTGACCCCTCCATTCTCTCGGCAGACCCAGAGTCTCGAGGTCAGCGGCATCACCGCCATCGTTACTTCAGAAAGTCCCGCGGTAGCAGCGGGGCAAAGGGGGTGGAGCTACTGATGCCGCCACCCGTCTCCTATGGAGGCCCCGCCCCTTCACCCCTTCCTCCCCGCTTCCAACCAGCGGGTCACCCTCGCCCACCCCTCCCCCCATCACCAGGGGCCGTGACCTACGACCCCTACGCCCCCCCACAACACCACCCCCCTGCAGCAAGAGCCCTCGCTACGGCGTGTCAAGGTAGAACGCCATCCAACATGTCCGCCGTCTGTTGCCCCCGGCTGCTTCATGTCTCTGATTGGCTGGTTTCTGTTCTTCTCTCCGACCCGAACCGACCTCGGGGTTCTGGTTTTGCTCTGAAGTCCTGCTCGGTTCCTGAACCGTCAGCTGATTGGTCCAGAGCTGACCTATTACCCCAGGCAGAAATATTACCACTACGAGAACTACGCCTTCCGGTCCCGGTAAGCCCACAGGACCAGGACCACAACGGGTCTTTCAGAACCTTTTCCTTCATGTCTTTGTGTCGCCAGCCGCAGTCGGCGCCACCTGCTGGCCGTCAGTAAGGAATGTCAGTTCGGGTTTCCCGCCGAGGCGGTGGAGGAAGCGGCCGACTCGACCCGCCCATGACCCTTCTACAGCTGGAGGACGCCGGCGACGCCGTGTTCCCCCCCCTGCAGGTGAGCAACCAGAACCAGGTAGCTTCAGAACCGCAGCATTGAACATGATGAACTAGAGGGTCCGTTCGGTCGTGGTCAGGGTTTCAGGCTAAGGTTTTTCCAGGCGACGCTTCATAGCAGAAACTGCTACATGTGTGCATCGTCAGGGCAACGCACCAATATCAGTACGTTAGAGTATCAGGAAATATTAGTACTGTAGAATAGTCCAGAAGTTCTTCAGAACTTTAGAGCAACTTTTACCAACCCTAACTGCTAGTAAAACTAGCCACCGCCATTAGCACTGACGTTGAGTCCATTACTGGCTTGTGATTGGTTAATCCTGCTGATGTCGCTCCCACACAGGGCTCTGCGGTGGCTCCGCCCATCGGGACCCCTCACCGCCTCAGGCTCCTCCTACCGGGTGCAGAGGGCCGCGGCGAGCCGCCCGCCGGCCTCCCCGCCCGGCGCCACCCCGCCTGCTCCTCGGAGGACGACCAGGCGGACGGCCAGCACCGTGGAGACCAGAGTGAGTGGCCGACCTTTCAGAATAAAAGCCTGGGTGAGCGTGTTGTGTGACGGCCATGTGATCGGTTTCAGTCGAGTACGCAGAGGAGTACGTGTTCGGCGCCCAGGGTGAGGATCAGCACATTGCTGCCATGTTTCCTGCTGGGACAGGAAGTGACATCGTGTTGTGTTGTAGATCAGAGCTACCAGCTGCCAGGTGTCTATGCAGCCGATGAGCCCGCCGCCACTCAGGTAACAACGCTCACACCTGGCCAATGTGCTTCCCCGATTGGCTCCAGCTCCTCTCTCCTGATTGGTCCAATCAAACTGGATCTGCCCGGCCTACTTCCTGTTTCTTCCGTTAGATGGGCGGGGCTAACGGTAGCCCTTCATCACCATCATTCAGCTTGAGTCACCACAGATACGCCCAAAAAACACCTTGAGTTTCCTCCATTATGGCCATCAGGTCACCAACTCTGCAGCACCAAGGCGCTACATTTTTATGACCTTTGACCTTCTGGCTGGCTGTCAGGTTTCCAGCCGTTCAGGCTATTTTCTTCTGTCTGATCTTTGATCTCGACTTTGAACTTTCTGGGTTTTTTCCTTGCAAAGCTCTTTTGCTGCTGTGAGTTGGAAACGTGCTTCAGAGATAAATATATTTGATTTCGTCTTATTTTGAAAGGACGAACAGGAAAGGGTCTGACCAACTCTCCAAGCAGATCAGACATATCCTACAGCTACACTCCGCAGGTAAGCACACCTGCTTCTGCCCCCTGCTGGTTGGTTCATCCACCAAACCCTCTGAGCAGCCTGTTCCCCTCCTGGCCTGTGAGGGCGCTGCACCAAGAACCGACACGAAAACCTCTGAAGACACTGAGCGTAATTTCCTTCTATACCAAATAGAAACTGAAATGGAGGATTTCTCTAAATAAAACTAATGATCACAAACTGCGGAAAATAAAACTCAGATCTTAAATTAAGACGTCAACATATTTTAGGTATAAAATTTGCCTTTTATGACGTTTGAGCATTCTCTAAAATAAAATGATTTCCCTTTAAAGTGGAGCGGATTTTTAGAAAGCAGCACTTGAGAACCAGAAGATTAAATATAATTTAACTCTTCATCTCCTGCTAGAAAAACATTTTAAATATAGAGTAGATTTCTCGTACAATATCCACTTTCAAAAGCAGGAACTGATATTTTGAATTTCTTTTGCATAAAGTCATTCCAGGGAAAACATATTTAATTATAAAATTAATATTTTATAGTTTTTTGTGGGAGTGGAACAAAAAGCTGTTTGGTTTTATTTTCATGATTTTAAACAAATGTTTAAGGAAACTGATGAATCCAATTTTGGTTCATAAAGTCACATTCGATTTTTTTTTTTTTTTACGGCTAAATGTAGCGTCAGGTTTTCTTAAAATAAATGTTGCCCTTTAATTTGATCTTTTTAGCACATCAGCTCCACTTTTAGCCAAAGACCATAAATATGAATCCATTCAAACCAAACGGTTTAATTCATTATTTTAAGTTTTTTTCAGTCTGAAATAGTTTTTGTCTGAACTTGTGATCGTTTTGCTCCGCTGTCTCCAGCGACGCGTTTGGAAAGCAGAAATATCTTGACTGTCCATTTAAATGCCTGAACGGCGACCGGTCGGCCATCTTGGAGGCGTTCTCGTAACCTGAACTCCTGACGTTCACCTCTAGAGGGCGCAGGAAAGTCAGTTGTGTTTGTTCCAGGTGGTGAAGCCGCTGCCGGTCATCTGCTCCTCCCCCTCCTCCTCCTCTTCCTCGCCTCCCTCGCCGTCCCGGGTCCCGGCCGCCCCTCACTGCCGCCGGCCGCACACGTTCAGACTCGTCCAGGTACGCTTGCTGTCTGGGCGGGGCCTCCGGTCAGCCGGGAGATCTGATTGGTTTTCTCTCCTCAGTATCCATGACGATATCCGCTGCCGCACCCTGGTTGGTCAGCGAGTCGGGCGAGCCTCTGTGCACCGTGCTGGCTCCGCCCCCTTACTCCTATGACCCAAATGGCAGCGACTTACCCAGAGGTCAGAGGTCGCATGGTTCAGTGTGGCTTTAGGGGTCGGCTCTACATCTGATGATGTTTGTGTTCAGACTGCAGGATCGTCCAGTACTACTACAACCTGGGAGTGCAGGTGGGTACCTGGGGCTACCTGGGTGGGATCTGTGGGGGTAACTGGGGGTACCTGGGTTGTTGCCACATTAACCCTCTGCCTCCTGCCCCCCAGTGGTTTCCACCAGAGCTGCTGCCAGCAGCAGGCCTACCCCCCCCCACCTCGCCGGAGCTGGCCTACCCCTATCAGCACTACCCCCCCTACCTGGCCCAGGAGCCCGCCACCCACGGTGAGTCTGTTCTCCAGAACCGGGTCGTTTGGGCCAGAGCTCAACCCTCTGACACCAGAGTCGGGTTAAAACCAGTGAAACCAGTCTGAACGGGGATGTGACGACTCCTTCCTGTGCTTCTGCCCCCAGCCGCCCCCACTCCCTTCCCTGAGAGCAGCCGGGCCCAGCAGCCCCCCTCCTCCTACCCAGAATCCTCCAGAGCATCAGACGGCCAGGCCAGCGGTCGGTACCGGCGCAGCCTTCTGAAGGTAGGATCTCGATAGACAGGAAGTCTGAACCGCTGATGCTCCTCCCACTTCTCAGGCCCCGCCCCCACGGCGGAAGGACCCGCCTCCATCATGACCCCAGCGTCGCCAGGCTCCGCCACCTCAGGACTGCTGCACCCGGATCAGACGACCCTTCCTGCCCCCGCTCTGCTGCACCTGCCATTTGAAGCTCCGCCCCCTGCTGGCTACCTGCCAGCAGCGTCTCACCCCGCCCACCTGCCCCACTCCTCTTATCATCCTTGTGTTCCTCCTGCTGCCCACTGGGGAGCGCTGTCGACCTCGGGCCACGCCCCACGGGTCTACTGCACCGCCCCCAGTCCTCATGTGGTCGGCTATATCACCGCCCCCCACCCTCACCACACCCCCACACACTACATGCCCCCCTCCATGTGAACGTTAGCTTGTGGCTAACGGTTCCCTTTGTTTTGAATGGGCGGCGCTAGCTGGTTCAGGTTCAAAACTTGAGTTTAAAATAAGTCACCTGACTGAGATGTGCTAGGCTAGCAGCTGGCTAGCTGACAGCTAACTGCTAGCATGGTTTTGTCTAACATGTCTTCCAGTCACTTCCTGTTCAGAAGATGGAGCAATCAGAACTGGGTTGTTCTGAACAGCAGCCAATCACAGTGGGGGGCGGGGCTAAGGGGCGGGGCTAGTCCCTCACCTTTTGAGGGATTTCTTTGTGTTCAGTTCTGGTGCCGGTTTGTTTTGGGTGAATAAAGTTCGTTCCACAGCAGAACCGGGTCCTTCTCATTACTTTGCTGAAGGGGGCGGAGCCTGACTCCCAGGGACCAGAACCCGACCAGGAGGGGGAGTGAGTGACCTCAGCCCCTCCCCCACTTGTTTATGAAACTGGAAATGAGCAGGAATATTTTCAACCAGAAGAAATTTATTGAATATTTACAAACATGATGAAAGCTGATGTTGAAACGGACCAGAACCCGTCTGTCAGGTCGGGGGGAGGAGCTTACACAAGAAGCCGGGTCTCAGCAGGTTTCTGTTGTCATGGAGACCGGGGGCGACCCCAATGTTACTTCCTCTTACTACCAGTGTTGTCATGGCAACAGCTCAGCAGGAATCTCCACGGTCCAGAGGTCGCGACCTCCCGGGGTCTTCAGGGGCCCCTTCAGCCAGCGGGGATTGGACAGGCGGGTCAGGTGCTTCTGCTCTAGACCAATCAGAACGGCCGAGCGCTGCAGCTCCGCTCGCTCCGCCTCCGGCAGGGAGGCGGGGCACTGCCAGGTCCCGCCCACATCCACCAGACCTGGCAGGAACAGACGGCGATGCGTTCTTCACAATGTTTACACGCCGCCCTGAACGCACCACCATTCAGGGTCCTGCAGCTGGGTGACCCGCCAGCACTGCTGATGCGTTCAGGGCGGCGTGTAAAGCCCAGCAGTCGCAGGTTACCATATGCTGACTGGTGGTACGTTCAGGGTCACCTTCCTGCAGCGACGTCAGCAACGCGTCGCTCTAATCCATGGTTTTCCCAGATAATCTGGTTTCATTAGTAATTCAATCTCCTCTGCGTTTCGCCACTGTCTCTGCAGCAGCCGCTGAACATCTTATTCCTGGAAAGACAGGAACTACCTTGGTTTCTGGCATTCTAAGCAACTTTGGGCTTGTTTTTCTAAAGTTGCTGGCAAGTTTAATGAGTCTGTTTGGTTTTCTGGGCCTGTTTTTGAACATGAAGCTGCTCATTTAGAGATGATTAGACAAAATAAACCCCAGAATTTTACTATCCCACTGGGTCTTTGTTATGTCCGGGTAATAGAAATATGTATCCTCATATTATTTGTATGACCTATGAACAACTTCAGGCTGCACTCCAGAAAACTTTAGAGATGGAGACTGACATGAACACATCAATAAACGAATGAACGAGTTCGTAGGTACACAACTGAGCGTCATTATAATAATTAATTTTAAGATAAGTGTCATTAATCTGTGCAGCCGTCTGATTGGTGGAGCAAACGCAGGGCCGTAACACAGTGGGGGCTGAGAGGGGGCTCTAAAATCCTGTCGAGAGTTTTTCATACAGTGGAGCAAAGAAAAACACAAAAATTACCAAAAGTTTTTTTTTTTTTTCTGGACAGTCGTAACCATAAACGATCAAATCTTCCGTTCAACCTCATAAGTGGAGACACATTGTTTATTAAATAAATGGTTACGGAAGTATTGGCAAAATTGAGTGTAATTTTTACATTGATTGGTTCTCAGCAGATTCTGAAAATAACTTACAAAGTAAAATGTTAATCTCCAAATCAAGTAGTCAGTAATCTAAGCTACTTGTCCAAGAAGTAATCAGTAATCCAATTAAAGTTACCTTTTCAAAGTAACTATGCCATCTCTGCCTACCTGCCACTACGCCGCGGCCGAAGCGTTCCCCGGACTCCAGCAGCTCCTGGACGCCAGCGGCGCTTAGGCCCCAGGCTCCGCCCAGCACCGCCCTCCACTCCTCCCCCTCCCAGTCCCGCCAGGCGACGTGCACCGCTAGGGTTCGGTTCTCCAGCGGCACCAGCAGGGGGCGCCAGCGGCTCTCCACGGTCTTCACACCGTCCAGAACCAGACCGGCATAAGGCTGTCGGAACGACAGACACCACAGCTGGACCGCCATGCTGTAGAGGAGCATCATGGGAAATTTCAGTTTCACAGGTCAGAAGTTTATGCCACAAACCCCCATCTGGAACAATAGATAATAAATAAATAAATCTTTGTATTTAGATCACTGGATAGAAAAAGGTATTTGGTCCTGTTGAGGCGCTTACCAAGGTCAAATACACACATTTGCTTCTACACACATTACACTCTCATACTTTCACACAAAGGCCTTTGTATTTGTAACAGATACAGGAACTGAATCATCTCCTCACTCCCATCTCCAAGCAAATAGAGATTTAGGCGACGCAGGACATCGGATGACCACTGGGCGTGTTCTTAGATCATAAGCAACGAATCTTCCCGTTTTTTAAACACATTCTGTATAGACTCGGGGCCCCTGGTTTTCAATTCTAGTCTGTGATGGTAAGTGTCTCTTTTTTAGCACTAACAAAAGAATAAAAAACGTAAAGTCTGATTGCTTTGTGTTGGCTGATTTGCTGCTCGTGTGCTTGCACGTTTTTGGTCTATTGGGTTTAGAATACATGATGGTTTCTAACAACAGTCCATAAGACATTTTCTTAATGACAGTGGAGATTGGTTGTCTTATGATGAATTTTGCTTATTGTATAACTTGGTTTGCTCATGCACTCAGTTTCATATGGTATTAAACTCCTTCCCCTCTGCAGTCAGATATAAACATTAATCAGCTGACCTTCAGTTTCCAGCTCTTCAGCTGTTTGGATTTAATGACAAAAGTCATTCTAACAAACGGATGCGTCAGCATCTTACTAATATTATATTTCCTGTCCGACCAAATAAAAACTCCATTTTAAATTTATCTTCTGATTTTGAGGTTAATAAGTGGAGAACTGATTACCTTAAATATCCTCTGAGCCCTAAAGCTAAAGAAGTTCATTTTAAAATTCTCAACAACATTTTTCCATCCAGGGAACTTTTAAGACAAAGATTTAACTTCGACATGAACATTTGTACTTTTTGTGATATTGACATTGAAACAACAGATCATCTTTTTTCTATTGTGTGCAAACTGCATCATTTTGGAGAAACTTTCAGGACTGGATCTCAACTAAACTTTCCCTCCATCATCCATTAAAAACAGAGGATGTAATATTTGGACCCACAAAGACAAAACCCGGCCTGGTTCTGAACCACCTGCTGATCCTCGCCAAATTCTTCATCACTCTGTAAATAGAAAACCAAACTGTTCAGCCTTTAAAAACCTTCTGATGGAAAAACGCTTCAGAACCTTAAAACTGATGGAAAACAAGCAGGGAATGAAACTTTTGGACGCTCATAACGACCTGACTTTATTTGACAACTAAAATAAATTCTTTTTTCTCTCTTTTCTGTTTTTTGTTTTTGTTCAGTAATCCCTCTGTTTGATGTCTGACTGATTTTATTTATTTTCTTTATTTTATTATCTTTTAGTTATATGTCTGCCGTAAGCCTGTAAAACTTTACTTTTCCATGTATGTATATGCCACATGAATTTGTATAATTAAGTAATTAATAAAAAAAAAAAGTTGATGCCACCAGCTAGCACTAGCAAACTGAAGTAGCTACAGCTAGCAAACAAAAGCAGCTTGTGCTAGCAAATGGAGCCAGCTAGCACTAGCACATGGTGGCAGCTACAGCTAGCACACGGTGGCAGCTACAGCTAGCACACGGTGGCAGCTAGCACTAGCACACGGTGGCAGCTACAGCTAGCACATGGTGGCAGCTACAGCTAGCACATGGTGGCAGCTACAGCTAGCACACGGTGGCAGCTACAGCTAGCACACGGTGGCAGCTAGCACTAGCACACGGTGGCAGCTACAGCTAGCACACGGTGGCAGCTACAGCTAGCACACGGTGGCGGCTACAGCTAGCACACGGTGGCAGCTAGCACTAGCACACGGTGGCAGCTACAGCTAGCACACGGTGGCAGCTACAGCTAGCAAACAGGAGAGAAGCCAGAATCCCGACTGAAAAATGTTGAGGCTGTAGGTTCTTTGGGGCAGAAGGAAGTAGATGACCGCATGGAAGAAATTGGCTTACAAATGAATTAGCACAGTGCTATGTTAGCGGCTATTGCTAAGATGGTTCAGCTCCAATCGGAGAAAATACCTGAATCCTATTGAGCATCTCTGGAAGGAGTTTGTCCTGATTCACTTGATTTTTTGCATGTTGAACAATGTTTGAAATGAAACGTCTGACTTTCATAAATTGAATTCATTTTTACAATTCAAGTTGTTTGTGACAGTTTTTCACATGTGAGAAATGTGGATTATTAAATGTGAATCCACTAGTGAAGGAAAAATGACCAAACTAAGAATTTGGCATATTTTGGTGAAATATTAACTAAAAGTGATGCATCCAAATCTCCTAAAACAGTTTAATAGAATAAATTGCAAACAACTAAACTTTTGTTTAATGAATGTAAAGAATAACTAAATTTATGGGAATTATTTCATAACTTTCTGTCTTCTAAAGCCAAACATGGATTTTGTTTTATTTATAAACCAAATATTCAGTTTGGTTTACTAATCAAAGAAAAATGTTACATTTCTAGTAAATTATTGAAATAAAGTATGATATCCATTCATGTTGATATGAACAAACATTTCTTTTTCAAACAAGTCAGAAACACAACAAAAAGTTTATGTTTACAAACATGTTTTCATTAGATTTTTATTCATTTTACTGCTTTGTTTCATTATTGTTTTCTGTTATTTACCCTTTGATGTTTTCTTTGTGTATTCAATGAACAAAAAACATTCGCTACAGCAGAATGACGTCACCAGGTTTCACTGCGCCTGATGACGTCAGACTGCTATTGACGGTTGATCAGTTTTCTCTAAAAGTCCGAAGTCTCGAATTTTTCTCTTCATAGAACCAGAACTCTGTTCTGGTCGGGTCCAGTCTGTCGACAAGAGGAGTTGATGCTCAGCAGAACCATCTGCGGGTGAAGCATCCAGAACCCCCAAAATGATTAGAACCCACCTGATGGTTTCGAACCCGATCGGAAGTCCTCACCTGACCGCCAGCTTGCAGGAAACCACGTGATGAGTCCACGCGCATGCGCAGAGAAGCACCACAAACCAAAGCCGAACCTTCAGAATTGATCCGCAGAGCTCGGAACCGGCGGTTCCTTCTCTGTCCTGCTGCTCTCTCTCTCACCGTCCAGATCAGCGGGGCGGTGTCGCCCTCTGCAGGCCGGAGACGGTAAGGCTGAGATTCACGTAAGTTCTGCTTCCTGACCAGAACCAGGGAGCAGAACCGAACTTGCTTCAGCAAACAGGAAGGGGGGCGGACCGCTGTCATTGTACTCCGGAAATGTAATTGAGCTAAAAGTCAATAACAAATTAATTAGGCTCACAGAAGAATAATGTTGACATTCTGAATGTTTTTGTGCTCTCATCTGTTGTTGTTGTTTTTCTTTCGTTATTGGATTATTGTGCGTCACATCACGTGACCTGTCTAATTTAACACACTCGTGAACAATAAAGGGTGTGTCCTCCCAACAAAACAACACGAAAGTAAAAACTGAGTTTCTTGATGTCACGTTGAACTCTGTGCCGAAGAACGACTCTGTTAACAAATAACCAGGTTGTTAAACATGCATATTAATCTGAGACTTTATGTTGGTTGAGTTTAATATATAGGAAAATCTATTTAGTCCATCAACATGGAAATTTTCCTTTGACTCTAAAACAATAAATCCTATTCATAGAATCACATCATCAATAATTTATGAATAGAGTAAAACAGTCAGCAAGCTGCAGGTAAATGTTATCATTTAGCTGGTAAAGAATAATTATTGCCCTGTCAATAAATGATTTCTAATAGATTATCACCAGAGGAAAACAGAGAGGGCTTCATGAGGTCAGAGGTCAAACTGATGAAGAAAGAGGATGGATGCTCTCTGCTAAAATATTCCTGCATCTTCCATCATCTTCCAGCAAACAGTTGAGATAAAGTTGGTTCTGGTTTCACCACCATTTACCTGCTGTTTTACCTGCCAGTGAAAGTTTCATTAAAAGTTTGTTAATCTGCAGCTCATGAGACGGAACCAGCCGAGGAGATGAAAAGTTCAAACTTGAGTTAAAATGTTGTTTTAACATTTTAGCTCAACAAGCTCTAGTTGGGTAAAAAGATCACTAGATCTCCTTGAAAGAGAGCATTTCTTAAAGATTCAGTGTTTTATGAACTGTCCAGGAACGACACCAGGAATTTAAAATTTGCCAGTTTCAACATTTTGGCCGCCAAGAGAAACTGGAATCACTTTCAGGTTTTGATTGTCAGTTAATTACCTCACTGCCTTAAGAATGAAAAGCTTCGTTCTTCTGTGGGGGAATTTATATTTGACGGTTCCAGTAATGCCAGAATGAATAATAAATAATAAAGACTTTCTGGTATTCTGATTTAGTAATATAATTAGATAAACTCCTTCAGAACCAGAACCTCCCAGAACTCCCAGCAGCTGATCTCAGCTCTCACCAGCAGGTCGCTGGTCAGGAAGCCCGGCGCCTTCCTGTTGTCGCCGGTTGGAGCAGAACCAGGACCAGGACCCAGTCCAACATGAAGACCTGGAATTTCTTTTTTAGGAAACGTCCCATCGAAAAGATCAGCACATGTGAGGTCACATGTGGGGTTCCCCAAGGCTCCTCCTAGGACTCCTCTGATTCAATATCTGAGCTCCCACCGGCCCAGGTTGCAACAGGGTCTCAGCAGGTCGGCCCAGTTCGGCCCAGTCCGCCACAAATCTGTCGATGAGCCAGGAATCCACAAGCGGCAGAAATCCTGTTATCACCGGTAAATCCAGGGCGAATACCGCCGGGGTGTCCCGGTATTCTCATCAAGAATATTTGATCAATGGCATTGAGAGACCGATTGACCGGATCCATAATTTGTAGATTGGAGGGTGTACGAAGAAAGACTCCAAAAAAATAGAAAAACAGAAAACGACACAAAACAGAGCAGGAAAGAAGCATCTGCCTTCACTGAGAGCAAGAGAGACTCTAGTTCTATAGCTCTACATCTATAGAACTAGAGCTCTAGATCTATAGAACCATAGCTCTAGATCTATAGAACTAGAGCTCTAGATCTATAGAACCATAGCTCTAGTTCTATAGAACCATAGCTCTAGATCTATAGAACCATAGCTCTATATCTATAGAACTATAGCTCTAGATCTATAGAACCATAGCTCTACATCTATAGAACTAGAGCTCTAGATCTATAGAACCAGAGCTCTAGATCTATAGAACTAGAGCTCTAGATCTATAGAACCAGAGCTCTAGATCTATAGAACTAGAGCTCTATATCTATAGAACTAGAGCTCTATATCTATAGAACTATAGCTCTAGATCTATAGAACCATAGCTCTACATCTATAGAACTAGAGCTCTAGATCTATAGAACCAGAGCTCTAGATCTATAGAACTATAGCTCTAGATCTATAGAACCATAGCTCTAGATCTATAGAACCATAGCTCTATATCTATAGAACTAGAGCTCTAGATCTATAGAACTATAGCTCTAGATCTATAGAACTAGAGCTCTAGATCTATAGAACTAGAGCTCTAGATCTATAGAACTAGAGCTCTAGATCTATAGAACCAGAGCTCTAGATCTATAGAACTAGAGCTCTAGATCTATAGAACTAGAGCTCTAGATCTATAGAACCATAGCTCTAGATCTATAGAACTAGAGCTCTAGATCTATAGAATTAGAGCTCTAGATCTATAGAACTAGAGCTCTAGATCTATAGAACCATAGCTCTACATCTATAGAACTAGAGCTCTAGATCTAACCTGCTGGTTCTGTTGTGCATCAGAACCAGAACCTTCCTTTCAGGGCAAAGCAGCTGGAGTCTTTGATGAATGTAGAATTGACCGACATATTGATCATGTATTGATGATTGTAATGATCAGTTTCTATGATTTTTGTTCTTTTGACGTAAAGCTGAGATAAACTGGACCGATGGATCAGAACCAGAATCCGAGAGTCGATAGATGCTCAGAAATGTGTTGCTATGGCGACGGCTCGTCCAGCATCACCATGGCAACACAGAGCCCCTCCCTCCCGTGACGTTCTGCTTCAGGTGACCCGACCAGAACCTTCCTCTGACGTTCCGGTTCCGACTCGAGCAGCTCCATCCTCAGCTGCGGACCGGAGCCGGTTCTGACCTGCAGACGGTTCGGTGACATTTCCGAGAGACCGGTTCCGTTCCGGATCCACTGCAGAACCAGAACCGGAGAGGTTGGTTCCGCTCGGCTCCTCTCGGTTTCGGCTGTTTCCGGCTTCCGACGATAAATTCCGGCGTCTCTGATCTTTCCAGCTTTCCGGGAAAAATGATGTCCGACTTCCGCGTCGTTTCCGGTGGCGAGACCCAGCGTCACTGCAGTTCCTGTTCTGACCGACAGGGGGAGGAAAAACACTCATGATGCAATCAGACTTTCCAGCTCAGCCTGTTCCTGATTCTTTAGCGGAACAGAAGACCCACTGATGAAGGTAAAGATGATGAAGATCTCAAGCCCAGTTCCTGAAAATCAGGCCCACAGCATGATCATCCCTCCACCAAACTTTAGACACAATGCAGTCCTACGTTCAACCAATCTTTATTTTATAGCCCTGTTACACAAGAACAGGCAAAAGCAGTGAAATAATAGAATTCAAACCCAACGAGACAGGAACCAGCAGAACCCGAGGCAGTGGAATGACAGGTTGTATTTTCTAGAGACGGAGCCCAGGGGAAGCATAAGAAAGACTTGGGCCCAAAAGGGAACCATGGGGTACCCCAAACTTCAGAGGAGGAAAATTGATCTAACCAGACAGAAAAGACATTTAAAGGGCCAGTATTCTGTGTTTTCCAGCCACATGCTGCCATTTATTGCCTGATCCAATTGCTGTTCCCTTCAGTTGGTATAAATATGCTGCATTGATCCAAAATGACTTGAGAGAAATTTGATTTGATAATTTAGCACCTGGAAATTGGGCCTCTGTCTCTTTAACAGTTCCTGCTCTTTCTCTCCTCAACATTTAACATTTTTATCAGCGTTGCTCTACGCAGCAGCTCCTGTAATGAACTCAGCAGATGTTTACTAATTGCTGCTGGCTAGTCTGAAGGAGGAGCTGTGCCTTGAAGGCGGAGCTAGGTCCACCTTGGCGTTTTGCACAGCTGAAGGAAGGGATTTCTCCAACATGAACAAATCAAGGGAACACTTCAGGTTTCAGTCTGACATGCTGTAAAGCTAAAATTTTACACGATACTGTCCCTTTAAGTGTGACTGGTCACTTCACTCAGCAGGGAATCGCATCATCATTTGATGATCAGAGCCAGACCAAAAGCTTCTCAATAAAACTCAGTCTAAAGGTTGGAGAACCTGAATCTGAGCCGCTAAAGGTAAATCTTTACCTGACCTCTTCAAATCATTTGGTATTTTTACTAGACTGCCTCTAGATGGGGTTAAAGGTCAAAGCAACTTGGTTCTTCTGTTCTGAAGGCCCAGAGGATGGAAATGTCCCCGGATCATTGTCGGTTAAGGTCGGACAGAGTTGCAGCATCAGAGTTCAGGTGGCTGGTCAGAGTCTGACGCACTCGAACTCAGAGCTGGCCTCGTGCGCAGCGGCCATGTTGATGAAAAACACCCCCTTGGCGTCAGCTGGTGCGGTGCCAGGCGGTGGCGTCTCCTTGCCACTGCCTGGGGTGGCAGCCTGAGGGCTCTGGTTCATCGGGGAGTACGTCTTTTCACAGCGGTTCAGGGGACCTTTGAGTCTGGCTCTTCCTGCAGCGTAGCGGCCGTGACCTTCTGCCTTTGGTCTGAAGCGCTTCAGCCTGATGGCGTCTTTGGCATTCTGGGTGCAGGGAAGCAAGATGGCCACGTCTTTACGGAACTTGGAGCTGAGGCCGAAGTAGATCAGGGGGTTGTAGAAGCTGGCGGACTTAGCGAAGAGGCGGGTGAAGATGCTGGTCAGGTTGGGCACATGGAAGCCGCAGGCGGACCACATGGAGACCACCGCATAGGGAGACCAGGCCAGGATGAAGGCCGTGCAGATCACTATGGAGACCTGGAGGAGGAGACCAGAGCCGTTAGACCTGCCGACTCGCAGAGACTCGGAGACTGGTAGGAACTCACGATGGTGACATCTCTCTCGATCTTCCTCTGCCGGTCGGTCAGGTCTCCGTTGGCAGAAAGGGCGTTGCCCCTCTTCACCGTGTTGATGATGGACACGTAGCAGAAGAGCATGATGAGGACCGGCACGAAGAAGCAGAAGACGAAGATGGAGACGATGTAAGAGCGGTAGACGGCAGAGTAGCTGGCTTTGGACCAGTCGATCTCACAAGTACCGTACCCCCGATCTGCAGAGCAGCAGCTGTGAGGGGCAGCGCCGGAGGTGGGTTTGGATCAGAACCGGGTTCTTACCTGTGTAGCTGCCCCAGCCTAACAGCGGTGCTGCGGACCAGAACCCAGCCGTTACCCAGACGTAGAGCAGAGAGACGAAGACAGAGCTCCTGGTGATGCGATGAGCTGAAACACAAGACAGAGCTACAGGGTCAGAAGCACCTTCCAACCGAGGTTCTGAAAGTGCCGAGATGAGTTCTGGTGGGCCCAGACCTCTGTTGGGATGGCACCCCTTAATGTAGCGGGTGAAGCTGATCACCGTTAGGGTGTAGATGCTGCTGAGACCAAACACCAGCGTGAAGAACCCATCCACCTGAAAGAAAACCACAGAGGAGTCCTTTCTACCGGAAGCAGGACAGAGGAGTCCATCTACTCCAGTAGAGATACCTGGCAGGTCCAGATGGAGGAGACAAGGTGGCTGCTGTCCTGGAAGACGTTGAAGATCTCAATGATGCCTCTGGAGTAGCCAAACACGGAGATGCTGGCATCAGAGACGGCGAGGTTAAAGGTCAGGTAGTCAGTGGGCTGCAGAGACCTTCTCTGTCTCAGGAGGACAAAGAGGACGATGCTGTTCCAAACCAGGACATCCAGCCTGGGGGAAAGGAAGACAGCAAACTCATCAGGGTCAAGTCAGCAAGCTGCAGAGGACCGCGAATGTTGGACTGAGGTCCAGAATGTTCCTCTGGTCCAGAACCCACCCAGCAGCAGGAGGTAGACCCCGATGATGGTCTCCCTGGTCAGATAGAGGGGGTCCCTGCCCTCCCCTGTGCTGAAGCTGTGATTCTTCCAGGCGGGTCCGACTCCGGCTCCGGGTCCGACTCCGGCTCCGGCTCCGGCGGCGTTGCTAAGGGACATGTTGTCGTCTGGGGTCTGACGGTCCTTTCAGCAACGGCTCTGCTGGTAATCTGAGGTAAATTTAGCGGCTGATCCTGGTTCAGCTCCCAGCTGGCGTAGAACCAACGCCCAGTCGGGGAGGTCACAGGTCAGGTCACCATGGAAACCAATCTCTGATTGGCTGGATGATCAGGTGGAACTTCCAGGTCTGCTATGCTTCCTGTCTGGGTCAGAAACACCTGAAGTCAGATCAGCAGCAGGTTGATCTGCTGAAACGTCCTAAAATTTGAGGGAAAGAAAATAAGAACAAAGGAAAGCAGGTGAAATGAGAGAAGATCAATCATATCAGATACAATATTTAGAACATAACACAGGAAGCAGTGATTTTTGTGATGATGAAGACTCAGTAGAACACACTATGAAACAGCAAAACCTTGAAAAGATTAGAGAAGAACAAATTGAAGAGTTGGAGAATGTGATGGCCAAATCCATGGCCACACCCTGATGTCAACAAGAAGTGCTAATTGGATTACACCAATAGTTCCTGCAGGCAGGGGGATATAGTAGTTTGTTTGGATAAGTTTTGTATTTAAAGAAAATATTAGTATTTGAAGTTTTTTTGATTTTCATTTTTGGATCTTTAGTTTAGCCAAACTTAGCTGTATTATTCGTTTTGTGTTATTTGTATTTGTTTAGTTACCCCTATTGTGTCATGGTCTGATCAGCCAGTATATAAACCCCTGTGTGTCATTTCTTTGTTAGGTCAGTTATGTTTGTTGTGCAGTTAGTTTGGTTACACTTTTGCCTGAGTTCAGTTTTGTTCCTTTGACCTCTTTTATGAGCTCAGTTTATTTTTTGTCATTTATGATTTTGGGTTAAAATAAAAACCCTATTTTTCTAAATATATCTTGTGACTCCTCCTGTTTAACTCGGTCCATCACAGAGAAAAAGAAACGCTCTCCCTTTATATTGGAATTTCTTTAGAATAACAATAATTTATCATAGTTATAATAACTTCGTTGAGTTATTATTACAACTTTATTTTTGGGAATCTAAAGTAGCAGTTAGAAAACTGATTCACGCTCCTGACCTTTAGGTGGCAGTAATGCAGCATTAAGTTGTTTGTCAACCACAAGAAGACGAAGAAGAAAATTCTCACAGGAAGTGCCGCGGTCTGTTGCTAGCGGCGCTGTTAGCTCCGGGTGTCCGGCCCGAGCGCTCGGAGCCCCGGGAAGCGAACCTAATCTGTCCAGAATGAGAACTTGGAGCGCCGAAAAACCCAACTGAATTTGTCCCGAATCAGAGGTATGGGTCCCGAGAGACGGCCTGAACTCTGCCCAGCCGGGGGCTCTGAGCCGGGGAACGGAACCGACCCCGTCCGGCCAGAGAGCTTCGAGCTTTTGGGAGAACCTACAGCCGTCGGAAGGCAGGAAGGCTGAGCGCCGTGATGGCGACCAGAACCGGGGCAGGTAACGGTAGTGTCGCGGTGAGCTCCGCTGGACCCGAACCGACCGCTGGACAGGAGACGGACGGTGAACCTTTCGAGGACCTGGAGTTCAGCACCGAGGTGGTCTACAGCGGCTCGGATCAGGACTCGGAGTCCGGGGACGATGAGGACGCCGTGGGTTCCGGCGGGGACCGGAGGGGCGTGAAGCGGGAGCGGAGCGAGGACGGCCAATCCAGCAGGTCCTCCGGGGGCCCGAACCGGACTTACAGCGGCGGAAACCCCGCACGGTCAGGAGCCAAGCCCGGCAAGAAGACCCGAGGCCGGGTCAAGATCAAGATGGAGTTCATCGACAACAAGCTGCGGCGGTACACGACGTTCAGCAAGAGGAAGACCGGCATCATGAAGAAGGTGAGTCCGGAGGAATTCACGGGAAAGCCCGGTTCAACACACCGGTTCAGGATCCGGTTCAGGACCCGGTTCATGACCCGGTTCAGGACCGGTTCAAGATCCGGTTCAGGTCCCGGTTCAGGACCTGGTTCAGGACCCGGTCCGTTGATACTAAGACGTGACCTGATTGTCCAACCCAGAGACACCTGAGGAGACACAGAAACAGGAGGGTGTGGAGGTTCTGTGGTTCTGAGTTGGCAATGAATCAAGAAATAATGCCAGTTGATCAGAACCGGGTCAGGTTCTGTCCCGTCTCTAGTTCTGGTTCTGACCCGTCTGCAGGCCTATGAACTGTCCACCCTGACCGGGACCCAGGTTCTGCTGCTGGTGGCCAGTGAGACGGGTCACGTTTACACGTTCGCCACCAGGAAGCTGCAGCCCATGATCACCTCGGAGACCGGCAAGGCGCTGATCCAGACCTGCCTCAACTCGCCCGACTCGCCGCCGCGCGCCGACCCGTCCGGCGACCAGCGCATGAGCGCCACCGGCTTCGAGG